TTCCGTAAGTAAAAATACACTGTGTATAAGTAAAACGCCTTTGCATAGACCAGTAGCATAGACGGTAGCTGAGGAACCTCTAATAGTTCTCAACAATGAATAACACTTCCGTGAGCTAAAATCCTGTGAGACAATCGTTGTCAACCTTCCTGATGCTGCAGCCCTCTAATACAGTTCGTCCCTCATGTTGTGGTGACCCCCAACCACAAAACTATTTTTGCTGCTACTTCATAAATGTAATTTGGCTACTGTTATGAACCATGATGTAAATATCTGTGTTCTCCAATGGTCTTCGGCGACTCCTATGAAAGGGTCATGTGACCCACAGGTTGAGAACCACTCTTATAAGACCAATTAGAGCTCTAGGCAGTAGTCCCCTAAAAGACTAAGTCTGGAATATGGCTGCACAGCAAAATCTCAAACTTTACAAATTCAAAGGTATTTTGTAACATTTATTTTACCTATATGTGTGTGTATATGCTCATCTGGATGGGAGTGCCACAGAGGCCAGAAGAGGGTGTCTGATCTCTGGAAGCTGGCATTCACAGATGGTTTGTGAGCCACCGGCCATGAGTAAGTACTAGGAACCGAACCCAGGAACCCCACAAACAACACAAGCGTTCTTAGGCACTGAGCCATCCTCCACCACCCCCCAAACAGTAATTTACTGATTGTAAGAGGTTAAACCACCACACTACCCCTTTCTGTTTTTTTCTCACCAGAATCCTTTCCTCCTACAGGCGGACAGTAACATTTGTGTAATGGCCAACTACTCTGCAGAATCTCTGACAACACAAAGGTCCCCCGGGGTCAGCCTGAGGGAGGGAACTCAGGATGCGATCTAGACCTAAGTGGACTGGAACCGCCTAAGGATGCACCTAATGGACCACACATCTAACAGTGTAGGGCTAACGAACCAACGACTGTGGCAAATGAAGCATGACAGAACCACAAAACAACAAACAAACAAACAAACAAACAAACGGAAAGAAGCCAGAATGCTGGCGCATGCCTTTAATACCAGTACTCTGGAGGCAGGGGCAGAGGCAGATCTCTTTTGAGTTCCTAGACTACACAGAGAAAGCCTGGGCTACACAGAGAATGCCTGCGCTTTCCCACCTCACCCCCAAAAAAGAAAGGACAGGACTGGGAAACACAAAGTCAATATGTCACCTGTAGCCCGACTCAGACTCAATCATCCTTACCATACATGCATAAGCTTCATGTAACATCCTTGAATTCAGAGTTATAAATAGTTCCAAGAGTATGTTTTCATGATCAGTCTGCGTGCAATGCATGTTAAAGTCACTGCGGGGTCTGGGCAGAATCCATTTCCTTTCTGCAAGAATCTCGGTCAAGCTTGCATTTTTCTAGGCTTTGACCTTCTGACCCTTCCCAGCACGCAATTCTGCAGGTGGGAAAGCTACCCAAATTGCTGAGGTCACTGCTCTAAGGACACACCTATCCTGGGGATGCCTGAATCCCTTTCTTTGCCCACTCCCTCCCAGGAAGTTGATAGGGAGATCAGTGAGATCATGTTTGTCAAATACTTCAGGTTTCTTGGATGAAAGGCAACATCAAAATGTAACCACCTGTGGCTGCCGGCCCTGTCCTGTCACAAGCTGACTCTGTGTTGGGGCTTCAAAGAAGGAAATCAAGACTGCAGAGGATGGCCTTTGTGTGAGCAGCCCCTTTCTGCACCCTTCCTCATGACAGGCAGTGATCCCAACATCCCTTAATTAACCGATCTCAGCACTGGAAATGAAAAGATCCTGCACAACACACTAGCGCCTTGTCACAGAGAAGAGTGGACCGGCAAAGGAAGTCCTTTCCCTGCCTTCTTCCTGACCAACTTTCCTACTGCCTGGGGTACTATGGGCCGCCTTCAGTATGAAGGGCCACATGCAGCTGCCAGCCGACATGTTTGCTGTGAGCCAATAGTCTAAAATAAAGTCAAGGACAAAGCTTCATGTGTATGTTGGCCCACATGTGAATTCAGCCTGCTGAGTAACAAAGAACACATTCACAGCCACATAGGAGGCCGCCAACACACAAGCGCCCTCCTGACAGGCAGTACATTCTACAGTGTCACACTGAAGTCTCATAGATGCTCTGGCAAGCCGAATCTGCCTAGCTCCACCTTACAGATGAAGAAACAGACAGTCAGAAAGGCTACAAAGTCAGTTCGGCATCACATTTCTCAAAAGTGGCAGAGCTGTGCAGGAGAGATGGCTCAGCCGGTAAGGAGGCTTGGCACAAACCTTGACAACCCGTGTTTGATCCCTGGGCCCACAGAGTGGGAGAAGAGACCCAAATGTGACTTCCACAAGCATGCCCGAACACATACACACCAAAGTGAATGTAAAAGAAATCTCAAGTGGCAGGGTTGGAATTCAAGTCCAGCTGTATTTCACCCTCCCAAACACACACACACACACACACACACTCACTCACTCACTACAACGTTGCAGCTATTGGCCCCGCCCACTCCTGAGACCATTCAATCAACCTTTCCTAGGAGGAGGGCAAAATTAAATCCATTTAATCAGTCTGGGAGATCAAAAAGCTCATTTCAGACGCTAACTTCCTCCCTACTCAAGCGTTGGTGTCTGTTTCCCTCCTTCCTTAATTGGCTAATTAAGTATTTCATCTTATCTCTCCTCCTGCCTCACCTCCAACCAAGCGCCTAGCAAAGATCCAAGGCTCAGAATGGATCTGAAACCCACACAGCACTAGGTAACCAAGCAATGAAAAGTTCAAAAGCAAGAATGTGACCAAATTCCTCTTCAAAAACAGACAAGATGCTGGAACCCAGGTGAGCTCAATTTGCTAGCAAGAGGGCAATATTTGTATCCCCGTCGGGAACGTAATCCAGTAAGAAAGCATGCGCAGCGGCCACCCTCAGTCCTGCACTTCTCTCATCTATGGGGCAAGGAAGAACAGGTCTGAAAGCTCTGATTTCCTCTGACTTCTTTGTGGTGTGCCAATATTAAGAGTCTCCCTATGGCGATTCTCTTTCAGCTGACCACGGAATACAACACACACGGACTTGAATAGCTGCAGTGCTGTGAGTTTGTAACACCCAAAGGAGGAGAGCCTGGGGGAGACCTGGGACCCACCGGCAAGAAGCAGAGGCCTCTTGGTACACACTTCCCTCATGCAGGTCCCACAGACATTCCAGGTCTTCCATCGTGGATCAGAGATGGGCTTCGAGAAAACCTTGAATAAACACCCTCAAGTTGCAAGGAACCATTCCTATGTGCCAGCTTAAGACACCTGAAGGCTGGAGATCTAGCATCTTGGGCAGGAACAACCACTAGGAATAAGCACTTCAGCCCAGTGAAGAGGTCCCTCAGAGAGGTGACTGTGGGACAACCTCTCCTGCACTGAGGAAGCTCTTTCAGGCAGGATGTGCTGGACCCTGGGTTACAGGGATGGAAGACTTTGGTTTCCTCAGGTTTAGAGAGAGGAAAGAAAACCTCGAGATGCTGCCGAAACTCCTTTTAAAAGTAGTCGTTCTGATTCTGAGACACAGAGCCACATCCTTGAATGATTCTCCATGTGCCAGCCACACATTCACACAGGTCAGACTACTGCTAGGTAAGAAAGCGGTGAGGGACCTGGGAAAGGGAACAGCACTTGCATAAGGCCCTGACCAGGTTCGGTCCCCAGCACCAAGGAGAAAACAAGCCCCTTCTAAAACACAAACTGTTCTCCCCACGCCAAAAGCTCTTTCAGGACAATGTTCTATAGTGGGGCAGGACGGTCCTCATGGGGATACTTTAACAAAACCAAAGAGGGGTCAATTAATGACAATTAAACACCTGTCACCCCACAGAACCGTGTGGGAGACACTTCAGGAGAGGGAACATATATATCCAAAGGGAAAGCTTTTGATCCTTGGAAGCTACTCCTGGTCACGGGAAGTGGGTAAGAGACTTCCGGTTTCGTTTCTACTGCGGTGGGGGCTAACTATGCCAGCAACAGTGCACCAACCTGCCCATACATGCCCCACCAGCCACCAGGTCGCTCTCCAAGATTTTCTGCACGCCCCCCTCCGCGCCCCTCACTTTACCCAAGCTGTTCCCTCCTCTGGAATGTGGTCCCTCAACCACCTAAGTTGAGCATCATTCCCTCGACGAAGGTAACCCCTTTCCTCCAGGGCCTGGCCTTCCCCGAGTCTCATAGATGTGCTTATCCGCCCACGGGCTGCCCGCAGGGTGCTGCAGACTCTAGTAGTGTGATCTCCTAGCAGAGGGGAAGACTCATCACTAAGTTTGTTGAATGAATGAGGGAGGAAATCCATTTCAAGAAATTAACGTATTTTGGAAACTGACCATACACTCATCCAGCAGCGGTCTGAACGTAACTCACCTCCAGTATGACCCGGTAACAGCTAATCCGTGGACCGACTAAACTCAAAACCCCACAATCTCCTCAAACCGAAGGAAGGAGGGCAAAGGAAGTTAGTGACAGCGCACATCAATTCCTCCAGAAAAGCTAGAAAAACCATTCCCACAAATTAGAAACTAGACGTGGGATCACGTGGGAAAGGGGCTGTTAACTCTCAGAACCTGCAAAGTTCGAGTTGGAGATCTGGTCCGAGATGAGGGTACATTTTTTTTTTCCCTGCGCGCCTGTCGGATCACCCAACCTGGGACCAAGAGACTGGGGAGTTTGGTATCACGGCTGGGACATTGGAGAGAGAGCACAAGGACCCCCTTACAAACCCAGTGCCCACAGAGGCACAGGACAAGCTTAGGGCGCTGCGCTGTGTTCCCCCGCTCGAAAACACAACAGGAGCTGGAGGAGATGTTTTGGCTGAACCCCAGAGTCCCAGATCGCGCTCCCCTTCCAGCTCAATCCCAGACGAGCGAGCGCCACAAGCGAAGAGAACCCGGCGGCCGGCCACCTGGCGCCCCCACCACGCACCCCGGCGTCCCCGGCGGCGAACCTAAGTTGGCTCTGCCCGAGTATCTGCTCCCGACCGGCTGCCTTACCTGCTTACATGGCCCAGGAGTGACCCGGGTGCCGCACGGTGACCATCAGAGAGTCTGGGTCCCCACCACTGGCTTCCAGGAGCTGGCAGAGGTGGGGCGCAGGGAGGGTTACGCAGCGGCCGCCGCGCTTGGAGCACTGGGGAGGAGAAAGGGCCAAGAACCTGAGCACTGCCGTCCCGCGCGAGGGGACCGGGGAGATCAGAGAGGTGGGGCGCAGAGAGGGACCGCAAGCGGCCACTTGGCACCAGATGCTCCACGAGGACCTGCCCTGTGGACGAGACGGCTGAGCCGAGGAGCGCAGCTAGCTGGCCGGGCCCGCGGTCGAGGCGCTGGGCAGCGGGGAGAAGTTGTGCAGAACTTGAGCCTCTGGAGAGCCCGAGCGCCAGGAAGCGCGAGCGGCCGGGAGGGCGGAGGAAGGGGCCGGGTAGGAGGGGACGAGCAGGCGCCGCTGGCCGCGCTCCCCCGCCCCGGGCTCCGCTCCGCAGCGCTGGGGGCCAGGAGGCGGGGAGTGCGCGGGGCGCTCGCTGGGCGGGCCAGGAATGCGTCCGGGGAGGGCGCGCGCCAGCCTCGGGGACGCGCGCCCAGCACTGAAAAGAGGAGCCCGGGCTCCCCCGCTGCGGGCGCACGGTCCCCAGGGACGTCACAGCGCTGGAATCCGAGGAATGCCAGGCTGCGGGAGCTCCTTCAGCCGGCCGAGCAGAAGTCGTGCACTTTTAATGGGCTAGCTTTGGAGCGTTTTTCCTTCCAAGGTGGGAGGCTGTGGACTGAAGGACCGTGCCTGGAGCGAGACTGACTGGAAGTGGAGAAGGGGAGATGACCCCAGTCAACCCAACTGTGCGACGCTTAGGGGGCGGAGGGGAAAGCGGAAAGGAAAGGACCGTCCCTCCAAGATTTCCGTGGGCAGTTAGGGGGTGGGACACTGGAGCTACAACAGGCCATTTATTTGAGGGAGGTCTCCAAGCAGGATGCCCCCATGCCGCCACCGCCCAGGAGACGCGGGACAAAGTAGGGTGGCCTTCTTGAGCAGACACTCTAGAAGCTCTCCTCGGAATCCTAGGATCTCTGAGTAGTGAGTCTTAGCTCCGGTCCTCCCACCCCGCCCCCACGGCCAACAAGCCTTTGTGTGCTGGGAGTTGGAATATGTGGTTTTCCCGGTTTGTTCCATGCCACGGAGGGGCCCCACCCCGCCTGGGTAGGCACTGGGAGGGAACTGCGTTAGCACTTTCGGAGGTGGGGTTACTGAGGCGCAGCCGGAGTAATGGAAAAGGCACTCAGCCGGGCAAGGGAACCTGTATTAGGCTCCTCTGAGTCGCTGGCCAAGTGGTTAACTTAGGAAGATTCCCACCCCCACCCCTGATTCTTGGTTTTGGTAGTTGTGCAGTGAAAGAGGTTGCCTATATTTTTAAGATGTTTTGTGTGTCTTGGCATCTGTTCTCTTTCTGACGTCTCAAGACCAGTCCTTTCAAGGATCCTGAAGTTCTTGTCACCCAAATATCGTTAAATTACTTCACTGTACAGGCAAAGGATAGAGTTTCCAGGCCTTATCCTATCAAAATGACCCATGCCAGCACTCTGGCAGAAGAGACAGGAAAATCACAAGTTTGAGGCTGGCCGAGACTACACAGCAAGACCCTACCTCAAAACCAGAAAGAAAGGTCTCTTGTGCCCACAGAACGCGTCTGTAATAACTGGCTTCTGAGCATTCTGTCTGCAGAACTAAGAAGAATTAAAGAGGACCGGGCTGGGGTGGGGGTTGGGGGGGGGCACAATGGAACGGATGGGAAGCAAAGGAAGGTGAGTCTTTCAAAATGTCGAGGAGAAGGCTGTAGGGGGCTGGTGAGTTTCCAACCAGCCTTCAGGAAGGGCTTTATGTCCTGGCTCAGTGTGGTCAACATTCCACACAGCTTAGCATCGCTGTCTGTCGCCATCCCTTGGTGAGGATTCAGGAAGCAGGAAAGAAGGGCCTGTATCACCAGGGAGCTCATGCTGCTGGGGTGGGATAAAGGACCCAGTTTGCAGAGTAGCTGCTCTCAGCCTCAGACGTTTGACTGAAACAGGATCGGGCTCAAAGACAAGAAGATGCCTACAGGCTGCAAGTATGGCAGGCTGTTCCTTTCTGGTAGACAGGAGGCAAATGTCACAGTGGAAAATAAGTGGCATATGTCTGTTGTGGCTCTGAGTCTCAGACCGCTGAGCACAGCCCCCGAGGCCACTGCGGTCTAGAAGAAACAGCAAAGGATTTTTGAACAGATGCAAACGTTAGGCTCTGCCTGTGAGCAGCCTTGTGACCCTGGGCAAGCCACTTAACTGAGGCTTGAGTTTATTTTGTCAGTGGAGTGTGACATCAGGGACAGAGTTTGGTTGGATTAGCTGAATCTTGGGCTGCAACCCTGTCTAAGCTTGTTTGAGTGCTTCCTCCTCCAGACACAGGCATGTTTGTGGGAGTCCAGTGATGGATGCCTGCCACTGCGCTTGCAGCCATAAGTAAAGCCTCGGCAGAGCACTAGCTCTCCGCATTTGCTTGTAATTTTTAAATCAATTCATTCATAAAAATAAAGGTCATTGTTAATTTTAAGAACCTATGAAGTGCTGACTGATTGGTTTTATATTGGATCATAGGAAGACAACACAAGAGTTATTTCACACGCACTGGCGCGCATGCACACACACACACACACACACACACACAGAGAGAGAGAGAGAGAGAGAGAGAGAGAGAGAGAGAGAGAGAGAGACTTTCTAATGACTTAGAAGTTGCACTTTGGTTTTCCGGTATGCTAGATTTATGCTGAACCACTGAGATATAATTCTTTGTAAGGAGAAAGCACACACATCTTGGACCCAAGGGTGTCCTTCAGCATACACTGCTTGCATGCCCAGTACTGGAAGAGGTTTGGGAAATCTGGCATGTTGCCTCACACCTATAATCCCAGCACTCAGGAAGCTGGGTCAGGACGACCTCCGTGAGTTTTAGACCAGAGAGTTCAAAGCCAACTGGGCTATAAAGACCTTGTCTCAAAGAAACAAAAACAAAGAAAGCGGAGTGTTTGGTGCATGAGCGTGAAGACATGAGTTCAGATCCTAACACCATGGGTGTCTGTGCTTTCACCGGTGCCTGAGACCCAGCACTGCTGGAAGCAGGAGGATTACTGGGACTTCAGGCTGGCTGCCAGCCTAGTCAAAAACCCCTCCTGAGTTCCATGAACTGCAGTTCGGGGAGAGACCCTGTGTCAAAGGAATCCTGTGGAGGGGGACACCCAGTGCCTACCTCTGGCCTCTGTACACATGCAAACACACACATGCACCATACCATACTCGCAGATACTCACAAAGAAGACAACTTGAGGTAATTAGAAAGAAATTAAAAGTCTACCTATCTATCAATCTATCTATCTATCTACCTACCTACCTATATCTCTCTCTAAAAGGAAACCAAATACTCTCCCACCCCATTGTGTCTATGTGTGTAAGCAAACATCCCATTAGGTAAGCGTGCACTCTTTGCAGTCTGATCAGGGTACATGGCATTGATGGGACTTAAAAAGACAGGCTCTTACAGAGTTTCATGTTTACTTTAAAGCTTTATGATTTTAGGAACTTGGGAATATTAAGTTGCCCAGAGTAGTCCACCTCCTTGTTCTAAGCTTGTCTCTAAGTACAAGATGCCACACAGAATCTCATCCCCCTCCCCCCATGATCCTGCCCACCTCCAGTTTGTTCTCGCTAAGATATTACTTTTACACCTTCAAAGATGCTGATGTCCTTGAAACCATAACAGTTTCCTGAATGAAAACAAACAGGCTGGGAGATGGTGCAGTCAGAAAAGCATTGGCCTTGCAAGCAGGAAGAGCTGAGCTCGATTCCAGCACCCACATAAAAAGCCAGGCATGGTGGTGCTTACCTATAGTCATCCCACTGGGGAGGCCGAGACAGGGGGATGCCTGGAGCTTGCTGACCAGTTAGAATTGTCAAATCAGTGAAAGATCACCTCAAGAAGTAAGATGGAGAGTGTCAGGAGAATCTCTGATGTCAACTTCTGGCTCCCCGTGTACATACACGTGCACATACACAAACATGCACACATACAAAACACACACATTTTTTTAAAACTAAAAAGTAAGTTGGCTTTATTTGAAATACTCTGATAGCTCTAGGGGTAGCCTGTACATTTTGGAGTTATATGGAGAAGGAGGAAATTACTTGTTAATACCTTGCTCCCCCCTCCCTTTTGTGCCACTGGAGATGGGACATGTGTGCACACAGATGTTAGCGTGCATCATATTTTAGACTGGATGTAACTGAGCTACAACCAGAATTGAGTAAAAAGCACAAAACTTAATGTACATACCTGTAGTGTATAGATGCATGTGACTTCCACCCAGGACAAGGTAAAGTGTCCACACTGCAGAAAATTCCCTTGTTTGACTTCTCTGTCACTATGTCCCCTCTGGGCTAACCTCTGCTCCTTGCGCATACCTGGCTAGTCCTCAGACTTCATGCCAATGGACCCCAAGAGTGTTCAACGGTGTTCGTAGACAATCTACCCAGAGAAGCTAGCTTCTTTAGTTCACTGCATCAGGAGTCCATTTCCCTGCACAGCAGAATTACATTCCATGACAAGAACAGTACCAATCTGTGTGTGCCTGTTCCTCTATTGATCTAGTGTGCAAGTATATTTTGGAAACACTTTTCAAGTAATTCTTCTGTGCTTGGGTTACAGGTTAAAGCCAGAGTGTTTGGGTCACTGGCTTAAACAGCAAAAATGAAAGATAACCCTACATTATTGACACCTGTGAAAAGTATTAAACAAGAGATGACGAGAATGTTTTGATGGACCTGGGAGATAGCTAACTCAGTAAAATGATTGCCTTTCAAGCATAAGGTCCTGAGTTCAAAACCCAGAACCCATATTTTTAATAAAAGGAGGTGGGGGCGGACACAATGGTACATACTTGTAATCCCAGCACTGAAGAGGCAGAGACAAGGGCTGGAGAAATGTCTCAGTGGTTAAGAGCACTGACTGCTCTTCCAAAGGTCCTGAGTTCAATTCCCAGCAACCACATGGTGGCTCACAACCATTTGTAATGAGATCCGATT